CTTTAATACTAAATTTTAGTTTTGCAAAATTATTACCAACACCCTATAAGGGTAATAGTAAACGGGATATTTCCGGCACTTTGCCCCCCTCATTTTCAGTCAAAATCTAACAAACTTTATATAGCTGTAATTCTTCAAGGGTTAAAATATTTTGAGAAAAATTCACAGTCTTTCTTATCTTACATCTTTAGATATTTGTACCTAATTTCAGCGAATTTGATGTAAGGTTCAACCCCTTATTTTTTGAAATTTTTTTACCCAATAGCTTTATTTTTAATATAATCGGCAGGACCTCCAGAAGATCATAGGATCTTATCATGAAGCCCATTACAATATCAAATTTATTAACAATAATAAAAAAATTATCACATTGGAATAGAATTACCACATGAACGCCAAGAGGATGGAGGAAGGGGCGTTGGGGAAAAAGACAGTTTGTCCCGGGGCACCAAATAAAAAGAAGGTACCGTATCAAAGGGGCACCAAATGAAAAGGTACCGTAACTTTGAACAACCGTGGGTAACATTACACAACCGAAGCTAAAGATATTATACTCTTCAGCAGTTAAAAATTTGAATTACAACTTCAAAACACTTTTGAAGTCAGTTGTATATTCTAGTTTTAATTCGAAAATAGTGTAAAATAGTCATTTTTAACGAAACTTCTTTCTACACAAATAATTTTACTTAAACATAGAAAAAGCCACGCAAATAATTTTTTGCAACTTTTATCTGTTAAGGTGCTGTCCATCAAGGATGTAACGCAATGTTTTATATAATAAAAAAATCTTTTATATTAAAAACTATATATATATATATATATATATATATATATATATATATATATATATATATATATATATATATATATATATATATATATATATATATATATATATATATATATATATATATATATATATATATATAAGATCCGAAAGAGTGCCATGATCACAGTTTTAGCTTAAAATCATTGAGTAGCATTAAAAATAAACTTGTCAACAAAAAGAATAAGAATGAGAGATCAAGCTCAGAAAATTTGAGACATATGAACTTTTACCAGGACAATTTACAAATGTCAATGGAATATGCTTATCTGAAGCCAATAATAAAAATATTAAATGCTTGTTTGTCACAGAAGAACATTTTTATGAATGGCGCAATATTTGTTTCACATTAAAGAGCCTCAAAAAATACCCTCAACTAGAGAACGTTACAAAGTACCTCTATTAGACTCTTGAACTTTATTTAGTTAGTTAGTTTATTAAGTTTTTTTTTTTAATTTAAAAGATACATTAAAAGAAACTTTGTGTTTTTAGTTTTTAATATGGCTGTGTTTCCTTTTATCGTTAAATTTTTGCCAAAAAAATAGTAAATCTGATTTTTATTTTTTTATTTTTTACATCATTTTAGAATTTTTTTTAGATGCTTTCGTTAGAATTTTCTTTAAACAGTATGATAAAAAGAGATTAAATAGCAAAATTCATATAAACGGTAAAGTTTTTTTCAAATTTTTTAAGGCTGTGCAGAGTTAGCCAAAATCCCGGTTAACTTAGGACATAATTTAGACACCCATGAAGAATACTTCTTAAATTGTAAAAAATAATTTCTAATAATAACAGTTTTTAGATAGAGTAAAGAAATTTTTTGACAAGTTTTTATAACTATTAGAGAAGTTTAAAGCCAATTTTTAAAAACATTAAGCAAAAAATTTCAAATTTTTGCGTAAAGTTTCCCAAATTTACGGTACCTAAATAGAAGAAAAAAGGTCCTTTATTTATAATATAGGGAGCTTTTGATAAATGAGGGCGCCAATTAGGGTTGCTGTCTCAGGCGGCGCGGTGGCTCTTGGAGCCCCTGAATTACCATCAAGATAAAAAATTTCCTAAGAAAAATTTTGTACTATGTCTTAGGTATATGGATGAAAATGATTTTCAGAAACTTTAAAAATATCTTGCAACACCCTTCAAAGTTATGGCTATTTTAATGTTTCGGTCAAAACCCTAAAATACAGAAAATATTTATTTCTTTTATTTTCAAAACAAAGGTTCCAAATTGATAAAAATTTAAAGTAAAATTGTTTTCTTGGCTTCCAGTCAAGAGAAAAGCAATAGTAACAAAAATTTACGGTTTTATAAAAAAAAAAGTCAAAAATCTATTGTCACAATATCTAACAAGATATATCACTCACTGAAAATTGTGCTAAAGTATGTCTGGTTTGCATTCAAAAATAAACAGATATGACGCCAGCTAATACAGACTTGATATTTCCAAGAAATCAGAAACATTTTATTGAGAATTATAATCCCAATGAAGAGCATTTAACTTCTGCTATATGTGTAGATGAAGACTAATTCTTCTTAAGATTGAAAAAGGGGAGAAAACAAACAATGATCTACCAAACCCTTTTGATTTTTCTAAAGTTATCTTAGACTCTGACAAGACCAAATCCTTTTTGCTGTTGCCTTATTTATGAAGTTGCACGTTTTAATTTGATTGGAATGAGTCAAGGATCAGCTAAAGCTATTTCTATCCGAGTAGGAAGACCTTAAGTTGCAGCCTAAGATTTTTTACCACCTCTTGGTCAGTTAAAATGCGCCAGTGCTGATAGGCAGCCAGTTGGTCGTGGAATAGCACACCCAAACCCTTGTACAGTTTAAAATGTAAGTGAAAATCTTTTTTTTTTTTTTTTTTTTTCTGATATTTATATTTGCCGTAAGTTAAAATAACAAAAAGAAATTACAATTAAATAAAAACCTGGCAGGTGCAAGGAGAAGACAAAATGTCTTATCACCGAGCCCCCGTTACATTGGTGTTTTGTAAACGTTTTAAATATTTAGATGTGAAATAAATAATCAATAAAATAAATACACAAAAACTTTCAAAAAAACTTTCAAAATGAAAAATAGAAACTTTTAACGACAATATTTCAACGGAATAATTAAAGTAATAAAATGAAACAAAACATAACCAAGAAGTAATCAATCACAAAAATTGCTTTGTGTTTTATTATAAATAATAACATATAACTAAATATTTATTACTAATTATTTAATATGAACAAAAGCACAACAAAAACAAACAAAATTAAAAAGTTAAAGAAATGTAGTAAAAGAGTTAAAGAAATGTATGTATGTATGCTAAAGTGTATGTAGCTGTAAATTTAAAATAATTTTTTGATTTAAACAATTAAATTATTTTCAAATTTTGTATTTGAAATTTAATATATCGAAATCCATGTTTAGTAAATGCCTTTTTGAATCAGCATTAAAACTTTCCATTGTGCAGTTTAAGACGAATTCTAGACATTCAGACAGTTATTGGACAAGTTCCTCGTGTGGCAGAACTTATTGCTTCTGATGTGATCAAAATGAAGTTTACAGCATCTGGAGATGGAAGCTCAGATGCTATTTTAGCAACAAGAGGGATTTAACAGTCACAAATAATGTCAATTTTCAAAAATTAAGAGTTTCTGTTTGGATCTGCTGAGGAAATTAGTAGATTTCAATGTACTTTAGGTCTTTCTTTAAAACAAACTTACAAAGCAGCTACTTTTTTCAGATCTTAGAGTGGTTGCAAATCAATTGAATCAGGTTTGGTTGGAAAATTAAGTCAACGAGTCAAAACACCTGATTTATTCTACAAATCTACAATAATGGACTTTGATGCTTTTAATGGTGGAAAAGCTTAGCACTTAATTATTTTTGTAATGATATTTTTTGTTGGAGTAAGCAAGTATCCAAATCAGTTCATTCACATTTCAGCAGGCTATAGGAAACAGGTACTTACAAACAAAATTTGGGTCATCCAGAATACAGCAAAAGACTAAAGAACTGTGTAATTGAATATTACTCAAGGCATCTCTAAAAGTCGACTGCGAAAAACTAATCAAAATTTGTAACTTCGTTGAAATTAAAGAAAATAATATATATAATAAATAAAAAATTTCTATAACAAATATAAATATACAATAAATAAGAAATTTACATAATAAATTAAAAATTTCTAAATTTTGAAGTAAAAAATATTGAAAAATGTAAAGAATACATGAAAAAATGTAAAGAAAAATATAAATAGCCCTGATCTTTTTTGCACACAACAGACGAAAAATAAAATTTTTTCAAGAATTTCAATAGAAATATTAAAATGACTATAATTTTTTTCGAAGATTGCATTTGTTTATAGGTTTTACATTGCAAAGGTTTATAAATACATCGGAAGATAAATTTTACATTCAAACCTCAGACACAAAGTATTGTGGACATTTAGCTCGTACACACTCAAAGCTCTCATTTTCCTCAGAAGTGGTTTTGAATTTGAAAAACGATTTAAAAAATTAATTAACCGAATGCGTGTTTCTGACGCTGACAAAGAGATTCAAGTTTAATTTTGTGCACGCTTACCCATACAATATTTGCATAATTTAAATAGCAGTGGAGAAACGAATAACACAGTTGTTTTAACTGTTGTTTATTTAACATACGTCGAACTTTATATATAGTTCCAATACTTTTAGCATCTTTCATGGAAATATTTTCAATTTTTATATTTCTATGATAAATTGGTTTTGTTAATTTTATTGATTATTAATTTAATTCTCTTAATCAATAGGAAAAAAAAAAGTTATAATTAAAAAACAGATTTAAACACTTAAAAACTTCGACTTTTTAGTTTAGAATTACAAGTTTTTGTTAAAATTAAAACTCTAAAATTGACGAAGAGAAGCAAACACATTTTCAATAAACAAAAAACAAGGCCATTTTTAAATTCATATACATTATTTTTATTTAGAGAGGGGAGAATAACATGGTTGTCTAGAGGACGATACATAAACATAGTTTATTATCATTATTAATAAATAGCGCTTAACAAAAAATGACAATCAAAAGATTTTTCATTGAATTATTGAAGATGTTTTACTAACAACAATGCACTGCGATACGGCATCGTTATTGGATACAAATATTTTGAAGATCTTGCAGTGTTTTGAATGGTGCAAAATCTACGCGAGCGAGAGTAAAACATCTGCTTAAAAAAGAAATTGATTGGTTTTGGCTTAAATTATATCCAATCAGATTTGAAATTTGAAACAAAAAATTTCATGAAGTCGTAACCAGCCCAACAGCAATTTTATTCTACCAGATCCTCAGAAGGAAACTAGCGATACGTTGCTTCGCAAAGTTAACTTCTAATTTAATATATTTTACATAGTTTATAAGACTTTTTAAAGAAAATTCAAAATGGTAAGTTGTAATTGCTGTTGATAAAAATAGTTTATACAAGAGAATGTAGTTTCTATATATATATTTTATCAAAAGTTTTTTATTATTGAAAATATAATTAAAAATCTTTAAACGACAAAATTAAGCTCTGAATCAAGTATAGGTTACTTGAAATTGTTGGTATGATGAACTGCTTTATTTTAAAATTTGTGATTTATTTTCAGCGTGAATGTATATCAGTTCATGTTGGACAAGCTGGTTGTCAGATAGGAAATGCGTGCTGGGAATTGTACTGTCTTGAGCATGGTATTCAGCCTGACGGTCAGATGCCTAGTGACAAAACCATTGGAGGTGGCGATGACTCATTTAACACGTTTTTTAGCGAGACAGGTGCAGGCAAACACGTACCAAGAGCTGTCTTTGTTGATTTAGAGCCAACTGTGATAGGTGTGTTATTTTATTAATAACTTGAGTGACAAATTTAGAATAATTTTATTTTTTTAGTAAAATTTTGAAAATAATACTTTATTAACTAAAATCTATATTCAATCATAGTTGTTTATTTTCAAAATATACCATAGTTAACATAATTGTTACATAAATATCTACATCACCAATGTACATTATATTGTAGATGAAATCCGAACTGGAACATATCGTCAGTTGTTTCATCCTGAGCAACTTGTTACAGGCAAAGAAGATGCTGCTAATAATTATGCTAGAGGTCATTATACCGTTGGTAAAGAGCTTATTGACCAAGTATTGGATCGCATCAGAAAACTTGCTGACCAATGTACTGGTCTTCAAGGATTTTTGATCTTTCATTCCTTTGGTGGAGGAACTGGATCAGGATTTACTTCATTACTTATGGAACGTCTTTCTGTTGATTATGGAAAAAAATCAAAATTAGAGTTTGCAGTTTATCCCGCACCACAAGTTTCTACAGCTGTGGTAGAGCCCTATAACTCTGTTTTGACCACACATACTACATTAGAACACTCTGATTGTGCATTTATGGTTGACAATGAAGCTCTTTATGACATTTGCAGACGCAATTTGGATATTGAGCGACCAACCTACACAAATCTCAACAGGTTGATTGGTCAAATTGTGTCATCTATTACTGCATCTTTAAGATTTGATGGAGCTTTAAATGTTGATCTAACTGAGTTCCAAACTAACTTGGTGCCATACCCTCGAATCCACTTTCCTTTGGCCACTTATTCACCTGTCATTTCTGCTGAAAAAGCATACCATGAACAACTTACTGTTGCTGAAATAACCAATGCATGTTTTGAACCAGCAAATCAAATGGTAAAATGTGATCCTCGTCACGGAAAGTACATGGCTTGTTGTCTTTTGTATCGTGGTGATGTTGTTCCCAAGGATGTAAATTCAGCCATTGCTACAATCAAGACAAAACGCACAATTCAGTTCGTAGATTGGTGTCCAACTGGATTCAAAGTTGGTATTAACTATCAACCTCCAACAGTTGTACCTGGTGGTGATCTTGCTAAAGTTCAACGTGCTGTTTGTATGTTGAGCAATACAACTGCAATCGCCGAAGCATGGGCACGACTTGATCATAAGTTTGATCTTATGTATGCTAAGCGTGCATTTGTTCATTGGTATGTTGGAGAAGGTATGGAGGAAGGAGAGTTTTCTGAAGCACGTGAGGACATGGCTGCATTAGAAAAAGATTATGAAGAAGTTGGAGTTGACTCAGTAGATGAGGAAGCTGCTGAAGAAGGTGATGAGTATTAAAGTGTAAAATATTATTCTGAAAGTTAATGAGCAAATTTAAAATCTGTGTTTTTTTTTTCTTCTCTTAATGCCATTATAATTAAGATTTTTTTCTACCCTAAATCATTTATAGTCAGTAAATTATGCATGTGTGCTTGGCTAATTAAGTATTTAATTTTTGTTCCTAATAAAATAAAATTTTGAGTTTTTCTTAAGTGTCATTAAATATTGCATATTAAAACAAATCTGTACCTCAGAGGTCAACTATCGTCACTCGCATTTGACAAATTTTACAGGAGATCCAAATATAGTTACTACACTTCTTTTTCTGTTAAGAAGCAGCTTTTTTTATTTTTAAAATTGATACTTAAAATTACTTTCTGTAATGCCCACGCTTACGATATTTTACCACTAAAACAAGACGGTCTCTCTGTTGCAGTTTAGATAAAAACCTGAAAATCAGCAATTTTGCAGTTACGATCGTTGACCACTGGGGTACAGAAAATAATCATAGATTAGGCAAGTATAATAGATATTAATCTGATGCGATAACCACCTTTTCGCGATGTAACTGAGAACATGAAATTTGTTATTAAGTAACGTGAGATGTAACTGAAAAGTTTAGACCGCTGTTGAAACGTCGTCATTTCTTTCGTTATAGTTTAAAGTTACTTGCTAAAAGGTGCTTGCGAAATTACATAGGCTTCCAAACGTCTGTCTCATACGACTTTTTAGTAGTACCGCACTTAACTCGTTTCTCCGCGGTGGCCTTGTTCCTCAAGGTTTGTGTATCGGAGTTATAGAGTTGAGAGAGGGTTAGTGACCTTAAATAAGTGGCCTCCTCATTTGTAGTGGTCTTCTGAGCCTTGAGGAGGTGAATAAAAAGAAAACTATTGTAATAATAAATATTGATCTTTTTTAACAAACACTTGTAATGTATTGTTATATTCTTTCTTCGTCTGAAATAAATTTAACTCTTCTGTAATACATCTGCATAATGCTACTCCTCTGGTGTGAAGGTTTATGAATATGCACATACACATACAAACGCACACACGTATACATGCACACACGTATACACATATCCAGATACATACATACTAGGGATATCCACTTTGTGAATCATGTTGGATTTTTAATACACAATATGTCTAAAAATAATATTAGGCAATCATATTATTAGTGTAGAATTTTTTTTTCGTGTTTGTATTACGGCTAGTATTGGCGCCAACTGTTTTAAATTTTATAATTGAACTTTTTTTGACAAATTTAGGGCGTTTTCAAGCAACTGGCGCTAATAGAATCTATCAACCAAGATAAAAAATAAACCTCTTACCGTAACTAGATAAACTTCATTAATAAATAAAGAATTAATGTATAAGAATTATTCAAGTTATATAACCTGTTTTATTATTTCTAAAAAGCAAAAAAATTATAAAATGTGAATCAAAAACCATGAAATCGCCATAAAATGTTCCAAAGCTTTCTCCAGTGTAAATATGCAATTGATATCAATTGTCATCATTTAAAGAAAAAAAATTAAATCGATAAATTTGTATGGATAAAAATGTTTCGGTTTTTCAATTTACGGTTTAAATATTAATTATGTTTTTAAATTTAATTAGGTTTTATTATCATTATAAATTTTATATATTATTTTGTTTATATTATATGTTTATTATATTATTATTAAGTAATTATATTAATTAAATAGATTTTTAAAATAAGATAAAATAGAGCAAAATTATTAATCCCAAAATCTTTCTGTCAGATAAAACGAAAAATGACAACAAAGGTATCGAGAAATGTCACTATTCTCGGAACTGAAGATTCCAGTAAAGAACATGTAATAGGAAAAAAAGGAAAGAAACCAAATATTTCTATATAGTCTACTCGTAGAGCAAGATTTCTTGTAGGGGCTACCTTGGAAAAAATGAAGAGAAACCAGCTTCTTCTGAGGAAGCACATTGTTCAACATTACCTGTTCCTAAGAGACAGATTTCCAAAGATCGGGCTGAAACGTTTAATTGTTTGTCCGCTTGTAAACAAAACATTCAGGTTAGCCTTTTTTTTTCTCATTAAAATAAGTGAGAAATTTTAACAATATATATAAGTAACATCGAAAATATTTTTGGCTTACCTCAAATAAAATATCTGTAATGTATTTATACTTACTCCAACCAGCCAAGAATGTTTGAAGAGTATTGATAGAGTACTATTCAAAAAAAGCTTTTCGTTTAGATTACCGTGCATTGAAGATAGTGTTTATTCATTTACTTTCTCTTATTTTTACTCGTGCAGGTCAGTGCACGAGTAAAAATAAGAGAAAGTTCGGATATTTCTTCTGTACAGGCAGAAACAGAAATATCGCCATGATTTTTAACTGAAAATAAAGTTAGTTTCGATGATTGTGAACTTGAGTGTACTGATCAAAGTTTTGATGATGAGGATTTTAAGATAACTCGACCCAAAGGGAAGAAAGCTGCTAAAGGTCAGGTACTCATATTCCCTTGAGATATTGTGTCAAAAACTGCTTGAACTGCAATTGGAATGGAAATTTTCAACAATCAAGCAAATGTACTTATATGCTCTGTTGTTACCAGTGCTATTGAAAATATTGATGATACTACATTATCCCTTAGCTCCGGTCACAGAATATCTGACAAAATCATACGAGAGGATGCAGCTATTCTTAGAGGTAATATAAGTAAAATGGTTACCAACATTAATACACCAGTAATTTTACACTTTGATGGGAAAATCATTAGGGATTTTATAGGTGCAACAGATGACACAAAAGACCGTCTATGTGTCCTTAAATGAGAATGAGACCCACCTTCTTGGTGTGCCAGGATTGGACCATAGAATAAAAGAAGATTTTTAGCTATACAGAAGATACTTGATTCTTTTCAAAGTGGTCGGTTCCCTCATGGGCTATGCTTTGACACTACTGCTTCAAATACTGGTTGTCTCAAAGGAGTCTGCACAAGGTTGGCTAAGTTTTATGGCCGGAATTTACTTATGATGGCTTTCAGGCATCATGTAGGTGAAATTCACATCAAGCACTTATCGGATGCTGTGGCAACGCACAAAACTGTTAGTTCCTAAAACCCATTGTTTAAATCACTGAAGCAGTACTAGAGGTTGACGGGAATCAAGTAAAGAAGTTAGTCCAATTCATCCACCAAAAATTCAGTGGTAGGAGAAGCAAGCGTGCTTAGCACTGAAAACCAGCAAACACCTTAAGGACCAACGTATATTGACTAACACTGAGATAAGTGAAAAAAAATTAAGTTTTAAGTACTAAAAACAAACAATAGCTTTCTGTATATTTAAAATGTTGCTTCTAAAATTTTTATTGTTTCTATTTTTTAATTAGACGTTGAATAAACGTGGTGAATACTGCGAATTAGCTGAGCTTGTAATTGTGTATCTTGATAAAGAACAGACTACCTGGTATAGCATTCACAAAAGGATTCATCTCACATGCAAGATTTATGGGCAAGACTCTTTACTTCATGAAGTTTGAGCTACTGCAGCCAAGGATCAGACTGATCGTTAATCTAAGTGAAGACATGATCAAAGAGATTAATAGGATGGCTGAGTATATTGCACTGTTCTGGGCTCCATAGTACCTGACATGCAAGTTTTCAGATTCTGCTGTCAAGTTTGGTATATAAACTAACTTCCTAAATTACCATAATAGTTAAAATGGTAATAACTTGAATAATAATACCTAAATTTTCTACGGATCAGATGAACTACTGGCAGACGTGCCACTACGCTAAATTTGAGCCTGCAGCCAAAGTTATTGTCAAATCATGGAAAAATTATACCTGGTACCTAGATCCATCTCCAGTAATAATGTTGGTAGCCTCTTCCAATAGTAGCCATTACAAGGACATGGAAGAAATGGCAAAGTTTCTATACTTAACCGAGAGATGACAATAACAATAATAAAGTTATGAAAGTCATAGCAGTTTTTCCAGATGCTGCCAGTGTTTTGCAGCATAACGATCATCCCCATCTTTAGCTTCTTATGTTTCTATCGAATCATGGTTAATCTTCATTATTCTAGAGTATAATATGAAAAAATATATCTGGATGAAACTTCCACAATTCTTTTGGAAAAAATTTCCAGGATACTTTGAGTTCCACAATTTTGTTAAATCTGTAAATGTGGTCAAAAAGTTTTACACTCTTTCTGACGATTCGTCAGATAGAGCTATAAAACTTATTCAAGACAATGTTGAGCGCATCAAGAGTGAACGAAAGCTGCAGGACCTACTCCAACTAAAAAATGGTTGAAAAAAAAAAACAGGAAAAAAGACAAAAAATGCGTACAAGGAGTCAGCTACTGCCGTCGCTCCAACATTATTGAGAATCCAGAGCAAAAGATACAACATTATCTTTTGCTCTGGATCCTCAAACTCTAGCAGAACTATCCAGTAATACCTCTTTGTAAAATGCTCATTAAATTTCTATAAAACTACAAATATCTAATTTGGAAATACAGTAGCTTTAAAATAAATACTATTTTAAAATATATATTATTGATTACTCTGTTTGATTAAAAGATCGTATTATATTGATTTATTTAGTTTTGCGCTAACTATATAGGCTACCAGTTAAACAATTTCTCAGCTAATTATCATCGCACTCCACCTTGTTCTTCCCCAGTCAGCAGCGGTAAAGCGTTTTTCGAACTGGAGGGCCATGTCTAAGCTTATAATCAATATTTACCATAATTTCTTTAATTATTAGGAGATTTTTTGTTTTTACTTTTGTACAGTGGGGTCATGGCTCCTCGCTCTCCCAGTTGCCAATTTAACATAAGGCGAAGTGGCCCTAGGTCACTACAACACGCTCGTAGAATCCAGATTTTAAAATTCTGGAGTTGTCATTTTCTTATGTCCCTTACTAGTTCTCCACGCCCCAACCCTATTCACAACCCACCAAAACATCAATTCACTACAACAGGGGTTGGGGAAGGGTTGGGTCCATACTCCAGGCGTCACTGCGCCCATTAACACCTCTTTGTAAACTCTTAATCCTAAAAGTAG